TTGCAACTGAGAGGCCGGCAAGTGAGGCGGTGAACGTTGGAGTCTGCAGCAAGCAAGCCTCCCTGCTCGCTTCAGTGCCTGGCTGCTGGCTGCCATCTTGGCTGACAGTTAATTTGCATATACTCACTGATTAGCCAATGAAAAGGGTAGCGGTCGTACGCCAATTACCATGTTTCTCTTTTATTAGTGTAGATAGGTGGATGTCAGCAAGAAAAGGGGGATATTGCTATAGAATTTTAAGAGACATAACCAAAGATAATTCATATGCCCTTATAGGACTTGTGTTTGAACGAACTATAGGAGATCATTTTGGAAAGTTAGAATATGGATTTGGCAATATTAAAATCATTAGCTCTGTTAGGCAGTAGGTTTTCTTAGTAAACTTTTTAAACACTTTTTTAATTTTTAGAGACGCAGACCGAAGTATTCCGGGAAGAAACACTGAAACACATGTGGCAAAACGCTAATAATTTTTAAATCTAGGTGCTGGGGAATAAGGATGTTCATGACACTGTTACTCTTACTTTCTGTTTAGGAGTTTCATTAAAAGTAAACAAAAATAAAATCACATGGTGGTAGAAGAAAACGTTTTGTTTTTCCGTAAGAATGAGATTTACTGATATTTGGTGTGAGAAATGCTAAATTGTGGGTGTGGACAGTGAGACTTTGTTACATAAAGTTTGGGTACAGTGTTGTGAAGTACCCAAAACCCTAACACCAGCACAATCTCTGATACATAGTAGATACCCAGTAATTGTTTTAAATTAATACCAGCCCTGCTTCCTCACCCTGGAGCTCCCAGTCTGCGCCCCCCCCCCCCATCCCCTTGCCTTTTAGCCTGTTTATAATGTTACTAGAGGCCCGGTGCATGGATTTGTGCACTGGTGGGGTCCCTCGGCCTGACCTGCGCCATCTCGCAATCCAGGACCCCTCAGGGGATGTCAGACTGTCAGTTTCGGTCCAATCCCTGCAGGCCAGGCTGAGGGACCCCCACCAGAGTACAAATCTGTGCACTGGGCTTCTAGTATGCATATAAGATCTTTGGTTAATCTCTTCCCGCCCTCCCCTGCCCTCCTTCCTTCTGAGATTCATCAGTCTGTTCCATGTTTCCATGCCTGTGCATTGAGCGTCTGCCCCCAGGATCCATGTAATGGTGAGGAGGATGGCAACAATAAGAGTATCAGCACTTATGAGTGCTGAGTGCCAGGCACTGTGCAGAACACATTAAAGCCATGATCTCATTTCATTCTAACAGATGTCCTATGAAGGAGGTGATGTTATCCTCATTTTATAGCAAAAAAAGTTTGCTTTCCAGTTCTACTACTATTGCTAGAGTCGCATTTGGAAGGGAAGGCTTTAAAGCAGTGGTTCTCAACCTTCTGGCCCTTTAAATACAGTTCCTCCTGTGGTGACCCAACCATAAAATTATTTTCGTTGCTACTTCATAACTGTAATGTTGCTACTGTTATGAATCGTAATGTAAATAACTGATATGCAGGATGGTCTTAGGCGACCCGTATTAAAGGGTCGTTCGACTGCCAAAGGGGTCACGACCCACAGTTTGAGAACCGTTGCTTTAAAGACTGTGGTGTACTGACTCCCAAAAAGAGAGATGGTGTACAGTGTTGGTCTGGCGGAGCACTGCTCAAGTCCTGGCGCTTTGGGAGTCTGAAGCAGGAGACTCACAGGAGTGCTGCTGCAGTGTGCTCCACTGAGCCTGGCGAGGTTACAGAGACAGTGACAGGATCTTACAGGTTAAGGTACAGACGGAAAATAACTCTAAGACAGGGAGTAAGTGCCAGGAGAGAGCTATGCCCAAGTACAGGAAGGATTTAAAGTTAAAGGTCATTTGGGGGTGAAAAAGTGGACGTGGCTTTTTATACAGGGCCTTTGGAGGATTAGCAGAATTTCAGAAACCTGACATTCAGTTGATAGCGTTCAAATTCTCTCTGTCCTGTTGAACCAAATAAGCGGTCCACTCTGTTTCACCATATGTCTATAGAGGAAGAGTGAGAAGTAAAGATTAAAGGTAGGTTGGGTCTTGGAGCACACTGGATGGCCTTGACTGCTAGAGATTTTACTCATTTCATAGACAAGGAGAAACCATTTAAAGTTTTTACAAAGCAGCGCTGTAATTAAAGTTGCCTCTCAGGGCTTGTCTCTCTTAGGACCGTCGATGGAGGCTAAAATTAATAGGTCAAAGAGTGATGAAAAACAGGATGCCTTTCCTCAAGATACCAAAGGAGAAAATAGTGATTTTGTAGTGGAGAGGTTTTGTGAACTCCACCATAACCAAGTGACCAGAGTTTTCATTGACATCATGTGCCCACTGAGAAGGGTGCAACACTTCTTGATTTTTCTTGCCAATAAAGCATAACTCTAATCATGAGAAAACATCAACAGCCAAAAATGAGAGACATTCTACAAAATAACTGACCGCTACTCTTCCTAAATGTCAAGGTCATAAAAGGCAGAGAGAGAGTCTAATGAACTATTGCAAATTGGGAGTACACAAAGGAGGAGACATGACAAGTAAATGCTATGTGGGATCCTGGACCAGAAAACAACCTTTCTTTCGTGGAAAAATTGGAGAAATAGGTTTATAGATGAGCTAATAGTGTTGAATCAATGTTAATTTCCTGACTCTGATCATTGTACTATGTATATGTGATGTGTTAATCTTAGGGGAATCTGAGTGAAGGGAGTATACCATCTTTGCAACTTTCCAAAAATATAAAATTAATTCAAAATAAAATGTTTTCAAAACTAAGAGTTTAAAAATGAAATTGTCATGGGAAATATAAGCAATAGCAAAAGGAAGGAAAGAACCAGAAGTGAAATGGTTAGTGATTGGGTTTGGGGGATGGGATTTTGGGGTAAGATTTTACTGATAAAGTATATTCAAAATTACCTTACATTTCGGGGTGGCTAGGAAAATGATTGAGCATCAACTGTAACGGAGAAGTCTGGAAGAGAAGCCGGTTTTGTGGGAGAAAGATAGATACTGTATTGTTAGCTCTGTTTTTTATTATTATTATGCTAAGATTTCAAACTTGTGGGCGATTAGGGCAAAACAGCGCTCAGACTCGGTTTGACATGTAATAAGCCAGCTCTGTTGCCTCACCAGATTTGGTGTGTCCAGCAGTGAGACACAGTGCAGGAGGGCCCACTCCTAAGGAAAACTGCTTCAGGTGCTTTGTACGCCGCTGATCAAGTCAAATTTGTGTCTTTGGGATTTGTGCCTTGCTATGGGATAGGAGATGTGCGGGAGACTTGGGAAGCTGGGAAATAATGCCTGCACTACATAGAAAAACCGTTTTTGAAACTTGGGACTATATTTGTTTAATTTGTAGGCACCAAAGATGATACAAAGAAATGTAATCTCAGGAAAAAAATTTCCGACTACATGGATAGAGCAGAAAACATAAAGAAGTACTTGGATCAAGAAAAAGAAGGTAAAGAGGCTGTGTTAGAGAATGT